CGGGCCGCGGGCTCCGCGGGGCACAGCAGGCTGTTCTCCTTGCCCGGCTCCTGCTCCGGCGTGGGCCATTGGATTGTCCAGTCTTGCTTGGAGGGGTTCCCACCTGCGTGGAAATGGGAAACACATGAGCCGAGGAGCACCAACCAGGTGCCTGTGTGCGCCTGACGTCGCGCTTCGTCATCTACACCCGACGTCGTGCGCATGCGCCTTCTCACTAGCACGTGGTAGCCCCAGCAGGCCATGGGCCAGTCACCCGGTATGCGCATGTGCTTGGCACCGTGCGTCCCTTACAGCGTGCGCACGTGGCGTCACGTGCAATTATTACACCGCACGTGTACCATGTCCTAGGTACAGAAGCACGTGCGCGTCGCCTCGCGTGTCCCTCACATCCTACGCAATTGTACCACGTGCCCGTGACGTGCCCGTGCACCCCGCGGCACGTGCACGCTGGATCCGTGCCACACGGCCACCAGAGGTGGACAAGAGTAACTGTAGATGAGGAGGCTGAGGCAGAGAGGGGGAGCGGAGGCCACACAGCAGGGAAGGGCCGCTGGGCTGGGGGCTGGGGCGCATCGCCCGCCCCGCAGCCCCCGCATGGGTTGGATCCCACGGATTCCGGGGAGGGAGGGAGGCCGGGAGGGAGGGAGGCCGGAGGTGGGAGGTCGGGCTGGTGCATGCGTGTTGATCAGGCACAGCGTGTTTCCCGGCTGTGACTCAGTGTCTCCACGTGTGACTGGGTAGCGCGGAACTGCGGCGCGGGGGTTCCGGGGTGTGGCAAGGACAAGTCACCCGGCAGTGTTGCGGGCGTGTTGGTGGACAACAGGAGAAAACGCCTATCTGCAAGATGCCACCGAAGATTAAATGAGATGAAGGTATACGGAGCCTTGTTCCTGCCTGACGCAGAGCCAGCACTCAACATTTCCCCCAGTCCTTGTCTTACAGATTTTTCCAGGTGTTACCCTTATCTCTCCAAGGGCAAACTCACCCAGCCCTTACTGAGGTTGAATTGTGCTCCCCCAAGAAAGATACACCGAACCCCCCCCCATGCACTATTGATAAAAGAGTCTTTGCTGATATAAACCATGATGGGTAAGAGGAGCATGGTGCTTCATGCCTGTAATCCCAGCACTGGAGAGGCTGAGACAGAAAGATCATGATTTCAAGGCCAGCCTGTGTTACTTGGTGATATCCATAAAGAGGAAAAGACAGGATCAAGCACAGTAGCTTCACACTCAGGAGGTTTTAATAACTTTAAAAAAGACAGGTCAAGTGGTAGAACACCTGACTAGCAAATATGAAGCCCTGAGTTCAAACCCCGTGCTAAAAAGAAAAAAGGGAAACAGAAAGAAAAAGAAAAGGTGGGACATAGAAAGGTTGAATAAAGATGGATATAGAGATTGTAAGGATGAGGCTATGAGCCAAGGAATGTTGGGGAGTCCTGGCCCTCACCAGACAACAACCAGGGAGAAAGAGGTTCAGAATAGATAGTTCCCCAGACTTTAGAGGGGTACAGTCCAGTACACACCCTGACTCAACACTTCAAGCCCCAGAACTGTGATAAAATTAAATGATAGGGGCTTCCTGACAGCAGCCCTGGAATGTTCCAGCAAGAAGCAACGACATGTGTTTCATGCCATCTCATAGCGAGCGTGTGAGTTAGAGGGTCCAGCACCCTTCGTGCTGGCCTGCATCCATGCTACTGGACAAGAGACGGCAAGTCGGCAAAGTCATCTGTGGCAATAGGAGATGCTCCACTTCCCTAAACAACCTATAGTTCCTCCAAGGACACATACACACACACACACACACACACACACACACACACACTGCACTGCCTTCAAGGAGGTTCCAGCTCTCCCTGTTCCCCCCCCCCCGCCATCTTTGCTAATTTCCCCGACTTCCCTAAAAGTTTCTTTTCAAAGCCTAAAAAGATCAAAAAGGATGGAAGCCAATCTTTACCCACCCCTCCCCACCAAATTCCCTTCGCCATGAAATATTCTTCCTTTCCATCCCCTCCATCTCAAAATCAGAAGTCTGGGGATGAAAAAGAAAAAAAGAAGAAAAAGGTCTCATTTCATTACCCCAAATTGCCGGCTGCTAAATTGCTAGCGACTCCACTCCGCATGGAAGAAGCTACAGAAGCATCTCAACCCCACCCTTCTTCCTTTTGATCCTCTTTTTAATAAAGTCTGAGGGAAAAAGAGGTAATTTTTCATTTTAAATAGGAAAGGTGTGGCAACAAGGAGCTCCAAGGGATACTAATCGTCATCTTCCCTATCTTGTCACCGGTTTCTGGAAAGTCATTTTATTTCAAGTCTTGAGATGGGCGGGGAGACAGGAATGGGACTTAAGAAATGAAAGGTCTCCAGCTTGATGAAAAGCATTTGCAAGGTGCACCATTTTTCTTTTGGCCTCCTCTGATAAGAGACTGAGAGAAATAAAAGCCATCTCTCGAGGGGGAAAATAATTTCAGGAAATCTAGGCAAGTGTCTAAGTTCTTTGTCACTTCCTATTAAACCTGTATAAACAGGCAAAAGTGTGGCTTAGAATTTCAGAGCGGGCATCTGAACATCTGCTCCCTGCCTGTGCCTGCCACAGACAGCTCAGGCAGAGAGACCCTGGGCGGGAGTTAGCAGTTTAAGGATGTGCATGAATATTTCCAAGTGCTTGTTAGTTGATCCCTATAACTTTTGGGCAAGAGGCAGAACTTTCAGACACTGCTTGAAAACGTGTCTGCAGTCGTAAGTATAGAAAATGATAGCAGCCAGGCTACAGTGGCTCATGTCTAGCATCCCAGCTATTCAGGAGACTAAGATCTGAGGATTGCAAATTTAAGCCAAGCCTGCCTGGCAGAAAACTCCATGACACTCTTATCTCCAATTAATTATCAAAAAGCTGCAAGTGGAGCTGGGGCTCAAGTAGTAGAGGGCCAGTGTTGAGTGAAAAAAGCAAGCTAGAGCATGAGGACCTTGAGTTCAAGTCCCAGTATGGGCACAAAATCAGCACCACCACCACCACCACCACCACCACCACCATCATCATCATCATCATCATCACAGAGCAAGTGGAACTGTCTAGCACTGATTTCTCATTTAATAGCATCACAACCATGGTTATGAACCAACATGGCAGGTTGATCCTGGCAGATAGGTAAGGCTCCCAATTTGAACTGTTCACTGGGGCTGTGGTCTGATACAAGCCCCCAAAAACTCAGGTTTGAGAGGAGGTAGCGGGCATGGCTCGGTCACAGTGGGTGTGGTCCAGTGGGCGTGGTCAGGCGATGGGGGCCTGATGTACCCATAGTGGGCTTAGCTGAGTGGTAGAGCACTGCCAGTTCAAACCCCAGTACTGCCAAAAATAAAAAGAAAGATTCTTGCGAGTTGGTGGCATCTTCCCAAGTCTGGGAGCAGGTATGACTGGGAGAAAGGGTCTGCTTACATCAACCCCAGTCCTGCATACCCAGCATCCCTTGGCAGACTGGAGTACCCTCCACCCAGGCAGCTATTATTAGGAGCCTGGTCCTGCCCCTGCTCCTGGCCCCATGGCTGACTCATCCCCGACTTCCAGTCTCGGCTGCCGGTTGGCTGAGATTTCTCCAGAGAGGGAGATGGCGTTCGTGATTGATGCGCTCGATCATAAAAATAACCAGTTATTTTCATGCAATGAGTCACCCCTAAAAATACCCCAGTGCTCGAAGGGCAAACGCCGGGGGCATACTCACTCCCACACTCTACTCACACTCAGACACACACTCGGGCATGCACTCACACACTCGTGTGCATGAGCCAGTATGCACTTACACTCACACCCATACACATTGCCACACACTGCCGCACGCACGTGTGTGCGTGCGTGCACACACACACACACACACAGAGCTGTCCTCAGGCTGGAACACTGACAGGGGATATGCTGGGAGCCTGGCTCCTCCCTTGGGACAGCAGGCAGCATATGAGTCTCTGCCTGCTGCTATGACAAAGAAGACACTCTATGGCAGCTTAATCCCACACCCACTTCTTACCCTAACCAGGATGGGCTGATGTCACAAGCAGGTCTGACTGGACTGACATCAAGATGTCAACAGAAGCTGGGCGGCAGAAAAGTCTGTGAGACTCTTATCGCTAATTAACCATCAAAAAGAAAAGAAAAAAATGGAGCTCTGGCTCCAAGTGGCAGAGCACTAGCCTTGAGTGAAAAACCTAAGAGAAAGCACCCAGGCTCTGAGTTCAAGCCCCAATATTGGCACGCGCGCGCGCACACACACACACACACACAGGCACACACACGCAGCCTCCATTACTGCTTCTCTCAGTGCCATCTGATTGATAATTGCAGGCTGACGCTCGGTTGATAAATGGCCTATGCATTGTCATTACTGAGTGTTTACCTGATCTGTTTAATGAATATTAATTCGTAAGAAACAATATTTCCATTCTTGAAGCAATTCGGGGCAAAATGATGTTTTTCTCCTGCTCTCCCTCCCTTCCCTCTTGGAGAGAACACAGAGTTAAGTAATAACAGGCCTTGTCAGGGTGATTTATGGTGCATGAAGACAAAGAGAGAGAAGGAATTTGCTCTCCTTCCTCAGGTGGTGCCTGAGGAAGGGAATGGAGGGAGAGAGAGAAGGAGAGAGGGAGGGAGGGAGGGAAGACTGCCATCCCCCCAGAGCTGGGAGCAGGCGGGGGGGGGGGGGTGGTTGGAGTTCTAGGCCAGAGAGAAGAGGGTTTGGGCAAAACAGAGGATGAGGTAAGTTCATTGTCTAGGATGTCCCCAGAAGCATTGGAAGCTCTGTCCTGGGAGCACCCCCCCCCAGTGCAACCCAGACGGGGTCACTCCACTTAGAGCTTCAGGAGTTCTTTCCAGAGGATGCCTGCTGGCTGTGGGTGGCAGGTGTGAAGCCTGATACCCACTCTATCTCCCAAGAGACTCCCGTGTCTGCCCTGCCCTTCCCCATGCTAAAGCGCTTATTCAAGTTAGGCACTGATGGCTCACACCTGTCTTCCCAACTACTCAGGAGGCTGAGACCTGAGGATCGAGGTTCAAAGCCAGCCTGGGCAGGAAAAAAAATTTATGAGACTCTCATCTACAATGAACCAGTAAAAAGCCAGAAGGAGGGTTATGGTTCAAATGGTAGAGTGCTAACCTTGAGCAAAAGAAGCTCAGGGACAGCATCCAGGCCTTGAATTCAAGCCCCAGGACCAGCAAAACAAAAGAATGAATAGAATGTTCTGGAACAACCCCCCCAGAGAGGATGTGGGAGGAAAGGTGTCTGTCTGGGGGGAGGGGTCTGTCACTCAGCCTCAGCTAGCACCCCATGCTGCAGGCATGGGCGAAAATGCCACAAGATGCCCATAAGCACCAGTGTGCTTAGCTGTGTGCTACAGCAGAATTGGCATTCACCAAGATGCTCAGCTGCTTCCATCTCTCCAAAAGGAGGCTGGGTACCGTGAAGCAGCCCTGCCATCCCTGCCGACCCCCGGCCCCTCCAGGACAAGCAATCTTCTTTCTGTCTCTGTGGATTTGCTCCTTCCCAGCCTTGAAATGGAAGCCAGCCACCTGTGGCCCTTTCTTGGTGTCTGCCTCTTCCTGGGTTCAAGGTTCAAGTTTTGCCCACCTGGTGGCACGCGCCAGTAGTATCTCATTTCTGTTTAGTCACATGTGCCAGTGTTGGGTGAGTTGGAAACACAAACATCTTCCCGCACAGGCAGGCGGCACAGCAGGGCCTTGAGAACTGCGTGGCAGTCCCCAGCACCTGTCACCATCCATTACCAAGGGCCCATTCCGCCAACCCAGCCCTGATGACACTTCCTTTTCTTGGGATGAAATCCGCGCTGCTG